TGTACCGATGACGCAAACATACTGAAATTTTGACAGTATGTACATCAGTCAAGAATCTACGTTTCCGACGATGTAATTGCCAATAGATAGTCTTACTAGAAATGCCTATTTTTGAAAAGTCCTGTTTATTTTGTAACACACCTTGTATGTTTACCAAACTACTTTTTTCATTTACTTCTTCGTTAGCAACAACTTCTACATTTATGGCTGAAATTAATAAAATATATTTTTTTATCTATATTTTTACTTAAGTTATTTACATACTTTGTTTTGTTTATTTTTGTTGTTGTTATTATGTTTCCTTAAAATGCTCGGAAATATTATTATTATTAAAAAAATTTAATTATAGGTATAAAAAACGCTCAAACAAAACTCAAGTCAGAATTTATAGTTTTATTTACTTTTTGAATAACCGTCAATTACGTTATTATGTTTCCTTAAAATGCTCGGAAATATTATTATTATTAAAAAAATTTAATTATAGGTATAAAAACGCTCAAACAAAACTCAAGTCAGAATTTATAGTTTTATTTGCTTTTTGAATCGCCTTCAATTACGTCATAAAATAAGGCGAAACCACATTCACATTTTTAAATCTAACATGATTTAACATTTGCGTATAAAGTGTTCATATTTATTTCGCCAAGATTATAAAAAATTATAAGAAAATTATACCCGTTCTTGCTTGCGACTTAACAGAATCATCGACCCTTCTGGGACTTAAATTGAAGACAATTTTTTTAATATAGATCCTTGTAATAATTTAAATGAAGTGTAAAAACTATGTTGCAAATTCAAACAGGATATTATTTAGTAAGTTGAGATAACCAGTAGTTATGCAATGTGTTCGTTTTATTGCGAAATATCTTTTGTCAATGTCATGTAGGATTTGTTGACAAACTACCTTATCACTTCAATGTCATGTGCGAAATATTCGGAGCTACAGTTTTTTATGGTCTATTTATGTTAATGTGAGAAAAATGCGTTGAAATGTTGCATTGTTTTCAATAAAATTATTATACTGTGATAAATTTAGATCAAATATTAAAAAAATGGCTTGTCTACGTTTAATAATAATTGATTTCTACAGGTCACTGATATAGAAAATAATAAAATGAAACGCTGTATGTATTTATAGAGGGTACTCGGTAAGTATTTACCAATCTCGCGGAGGTGTAGATTGGAGGTTAAAATAACATTACGATTTCCTACATTTTTTTCCTAAATTTATGTTTTGCGTTCTGATTGTAAAACCTTTAATATTTTGATACAATTGTGGAGCAGTGTATTACTGATAAATGTCCATGACTTGATATTAAAATGGGTATTTTACAAGATACTGGGAACGGACTAGCCCCAACATATTTTTCAAAAATGTAATAGATGTCATACTATGAAATATACAGGCTGTTTATTAAGTACTTGTACAAACTTTAAAGGGTGAATCTTTGACTAATTAACATTTACAATAATTGCTGGAAATGACTGCCACCTACTGCAACGAACTCTTTCGAGTATACCTGGTGTCTAATTAATACTGGCAAACGATTCAAATTCTTAGATCTTGTTAATTTCGAAGTGGAGTTTTGTAAACTAGTGACCTCAAGTGACCCCATAGAAAATAATCCAAATGATTCAAATCTGGTGATCTTGCACTTCCTATCCAACGGTTAGACCAGAATTTGACGCGCAACCAAACTAAAGTGTGTAAAGTGATAGTGTAACATAGCAATGACTCTTTTTCGCTTAATTTTTCAAAAAATCTTAATTATTCAACTAAAATTGAATGGAGAGTAGATATGTATGTTTAGTCAAAAATGACATACAGTACGACATAAAAAAGTTATAATTATGTTAATCTAGATGCGACACTGTACACTGTAAAAACATCGGTGTGAGTGAAAGCAACAAAGGTTCGAAGTGAATCCATTGTGTGAAATTATTGAGTACATTTTCACTCAATATTGGGCATTTTGATAATTTTACTCATTTGTGATTATATTTAAACTAAAACTGTACTTTCACTCAAATATAGGTACTCCTTAAATAAATTCTTCACTTAAACTCGTATTTGGTGCACTTGTACCTAAATTAGAGTAAATGTCCTCATTACTGAGTGAGTTTAAATGTAACGAGCGTTCAAATAAAAACGTGGTCGAAGTTGGCTCTGACACATTGGACGTAGGGAGTAGCTTATAGCGACCAACTTAACCTCATTTCTCAACGAGCTGTNCAATCTCGCGGAGGTGTAGATTGGAGGTTAAAATAACATTACGATTTCCTACATTTTTTTCCCTAAATTTATGTTTTGCGTTCTGATTGTAAAACCTTTAATATTTTGATACAATTGTGGAGCAGTGTATTACTGATAAATGTCCATGACTTGATATTAAAATGGGTATTTTACAAGATACTGGGAACGGACTAGCCCCAACATATTTTTCAAAAATGTAATAGATGTCATACTATGAAATATACAGGCTGTTTATTAAGTACTTGTACAAACTTTAAAGGGTGAATCTTTGACTAATTAACATTTACAATAATTGCTGGAAATGACTGCCACCTACTGCAACGAACTCTTTCGAGTATACCTGGTGTCTAATTAATACTGGCAAACGATTCAAATTCTTAGATCTTGTTCATTTCGAAGTGGAGTTTTGTAAACTAGTGACCTCAAGTGACCCCATAGAAAATAATCCAAATGATTCAAATCTGGTGATCTTGCACTTCCTATCCAACGGTTAGACCAGAATTTGACACGCAACCAAACTAAAGTGTGTAAAGTGATAGTGTAACATAGCAATGACTCATTTTCGCTTAATTTTTCAAAAAATCTTAATGATTCAACTAAAATTGAATGGAGAGTAGATATGTATGTTTAGTCAAAAATGACATACAGCACGACATAAAAAAGTTATAGTTATGTTAATCTAGGTACGACACTGTACACTGTAAAAACATCGGTGTGAGTGAAAGCAACAAAGGATCGATGTGAATCCATTGAGTGAAATTATTGAGTACATTTTCACTCAATATTGGGCATTTTGATCATTTTACTCATTTGTGATTATATTTAAACTAAAACTGTACTTTCACTCAAATATAGGTGCTCCTTAAATAAATTCTTCACTTAAACTCGTATTTGGCGCACTTGTACCTAAATCAGAGTAAATGTCCTCATTACTGAGTGAGTTTAAATGTATATTAATTTTGAGTATTTTGAATGGCGCCGTGAAGGTGGCACCGCTTCCATATTGATTCTGTAATCTCGACCACAGTTGATAGAGGCCGGTCAGGAGTTACAGAAAAGCGTGATCGCCAAGAGAACAGGCGTAAGTCGGCGGCGGTGGGTCTCAGCTGGCGGGTCTCACTTCTCAGCTGGCGGATCTCAGCCAAGACAGAAGGAAGCCCCGCGAAGTGAATCAATTTCAACACTGTATATCCTAATTAATCATTTATGAGTAATTTATTTTTGTACTCAATATTTAGTTAATTAAAAACCAAGTCTGAGTAAAAAATGACTCAATAATAGTTAAATTTAAATCATATTAGAGAAAAAGTCAACCCTAAATTAGTTTTATATACTCAGAATAGAATCAAAAGTCGCTCAATTGACAGTTAGCAGTAACTCGGATTTGCGTAAAACTCAGTCATTTCTGACGCTATAGTTTCACTCAGTTGTACTCATACTAATATAGTGAAAATTTCACTCAATCGGGGGTGGACATTATTGAGTAAAATTGAGTGAAATTTGAGTGAAAATTTTTTGCAGTCTATGTGGCGCCCTCTAACATTAAACAAAAAACTAAGCAAATATTTGAGTTTCTCATCTCAGTCTTCCGAATTTCTTCAAATTGCCATGTTATTCAACAAAAATTTAATCAAAATACCAAACAAAAACTTTTTTGGTCGCTCTGTATCTCAAGAACCAAGCCGTTGCGGATCCATGTTCGTAAGAACTTTTTATCTTAAAATGAATCAAAGATTCACCCTTTAAAGTTTGTACAAGTACTTAATAAACATCCTGTATACATTTTTTAAAAGTAATTTTTATTTAATTTGATAAAAAGAATGATACATCTGTTTTTCAAACGGCAGTAAAAACAATTAGTAAGGTCACCTACATAGGTCCCCCAACCTAAATTTATTAGATTTGTATTTGTTTTGTGAGATCCAAAAGATTTTATTAATTTTTCACTCGTCTATACTAAAAATATTTAGCTGAATATAACACAGACATGTAATCGGATTCGTAACTTTTTTCTGATTTTCTGTTACGTAAATTTTTATTTTTAATTTTTAATGTTTCTCTTTGGCTATGATCAACATTTTCAAAGGTTTTTGGACTTAGACTAAGTTAAATAAACTAAGTAATTTGTAAAAAAATCTAGTTGTTATTGCCCGTACAAAAACTGTTTATTTTATCGAAATAAATGAAAACCACCAAGAGAATATCTAAAAACATATAATTAGTTTGCTAGCTAGCATGACATCTGTCAACATTTTGAAAACCTGTATTGGATTCAATCCGTTTCTGGATACCTTGTAACAGTAAAAAACAGGTTTAACATCAAATCTTAGAACATTCTCTGTAATTATGATAATGCTAAAATTCTATCAAAATATGGAAGTAAATCTCTAAGAATACCTATGTACCTCCGTTAGCAACAACATTAGAAAAAAAACTTATAGGAAGTTCCATAGTTACTTTGATGTTCGTTACACATTTCCGAGAGACTAGCAGATATTTACCGGACGTCCTGTATGAAGAAGATTTAAAAAAATAATTGTAGGAAAGTTAAACATTTTTCTATATAAATTTTATGTTTCCAATTTTTAGAAATTCTTCATGTTTTCATCATATAAAAATCGCACTATTACATTGTTGCTATAACATAACACACCATTACAAAACAACATGCAAGGATAATAAAAAATATATTTATTTTCATCCACAGCTACAAGTGTTTGTATTCAAATAATTTTTTTGTTTCTAGGAAAAGAAGGGACTGTCGTGGGATGGGGTAAAGACGAAAATGGCAACCTAATGACTGCAGAACCAAAGCAAACAAGTTTACCCGTCGTAAGTCAAGAACAGTGCCTTAGAAGTTCGTATCAGTTTCAATATATCACGTCAAACAGAACGTTTTGCGCAGGTAGGTACAGACCCTAAATGACACTGCATTATTTTTAGAATACAACAGTGTTGTTCCAGAGCTTAAATAATTTGTAATAGAATCTATAGAAAATCGTAATAGATTGACAGAAAACTGTAATAGGATTTGTTCGTTGACTGAAATGTACCGTTTTCACATCTTTAAACTTTAGTTTACTCCGTGATTTAACCTATATCATTTTATTTTTTAACAAAAGTTTGTTTTTATTGAGTAAAATTTCGCTTTGTTATAATTATATTTTTTATTAGTGTTATTGTTTCTTCAAGGGAACCATATGTATTTTTGTTTTCTTTGGTTGAAATAAATTTATGAAGATTCTGTGGTTTTTCATCTCCAGAATTTCCTCACTGTCGAACTAAAAATTCAATAGGCTTTTTTTGCAAGAATTGCAAGTGAAGTCCATGTGACAATTAAGATTAAATAGAAATAGAAATAGTAACTACAAGTCAGATATTCACCAATATTCAATCGCGAAAAAAAGCCTAATAGTGTAATAGATTTAGACAACTTAGTAATAGGGTAATAGAATTTTCTCAAATGTAATAGATCTAGTACAATTATTGTAATAGCTGGAACAACACTGGAATACAATAGATATATTTGATTACAAAGCATATAATATTTACGCTGTATGCTATGTAAAATAGACACTAGGGAAAAATAAAGTGCTCATATTTTATTTTTTCACGGTGAAAATACTGATTTTATTGCAGCAGATACCACCTTGCTGCAATGGCTTCCAAATTTCAAAACTGACAATTACTGAGAATAAAAAAAAATAAATTATTAAAGAATATCTATGACTATTATTCTGGACAATTTATAGCTTGATTGATAAAAATATTATAATATTCTAAAATAGCACCAATGGTAGTAGAAAAATTATGCAGGGTGGCCAAATGGAAACGAAGAAGAGCCATTTTCAGGAACTGCGTCAAGATTGTAGAAAAACGCTCAGACCCGTCGATTTTAAATTAAAGGGGGACATTCTTTGCTGCTATTTTTGGCTCTATCACCCCAAAATATTTAAATGGCATTGGGGGTAGAGGAATATTTCTTTTGAAAGCTCTTACAATTCTCTTTACAACAGACTTTAAATTTTATAATTCCACCCAATACTTATTAAGAATTTTAATTTTAAACTTGAAACTTTTGTACAAACAATTAGAAACGGTAAAAATGTCACTCATTCGAGTTAAGTACGCCAATTGTATAAATTTAGTATTTCTTGCGTTACATTGGTTTTTGGCGATTTGTTATCACTTTCGTAAAAAAACACAATTGTAAAAAACAGAAATGAATGCTATACACACACAATGAACGTAAAATTAGTGGATTCCAAATTATTTTCTAGTATTATTTGGAAGCGTTGGTTGGTAGTTTATTTAATTGTGTTTTTGAAAATTAAACACTATGGTTTATTCCATTGCGGAAAGGGTAGATATCATTTCGCTTTACTTTATGAACAATAAATGTGCGAATAGAACAGCTCAGCTATTTAATGAACAACATCAAGATCGACATGTCAGGAGGAAGTATGTTCTAGAGTTAGTAAAAAAATTTCAAGAGACAGGGAACGTAGCCAATAAAAAACGAGAAATTGAAAAACCTATAGTTAATGAAGCTAGTGAAGTTGCAGTTTTGGGACAAGTTCATCTTGATCCTACATTAAGTACGAGGCAGCTGGCATCTGTGTCTGGGATCAATCGAACTAGCATACAAACCATTTTGAAGAAGAATAAATTCCATCCATACAAAATACATTTAGTCCAGGAACTTCATGAGGATGATTATGACCGCCGTTTGCAATTTTGCGAAATAATGAGTGAGTGAGCAGGGAACCATCCACAGTTTCTTTTTAACATCTGTTTTTCTGATGAGTGCAGTTTTTTCTTGAACGGGACGGTAAATCGTCACAATTGCCGCTATTGGTTCGATTCAAACCCAAGAGTTTTTCACGAGGTGCAACCGTAAAAATTAAATGTATGTGTTGGAAATTTCGGTGACCGGCTGGTGGGTCCTTTTTTTCTATCTGGTAATTTGACTGGCCAAATGTATTATTGCAATTACTGGAAGACGCTATTGACCCTGCCTTGACTGATATTATTGAAAATGTTCCAGAGTATGATGAAGATCATTAGATTTTTCAAAAGGACGGTGCTCCTCCGCATTATGCGTTAATTGTCCGTCAGTACCAACGTTTTCTACGGAATTGGATTGGAAGAAGAGGCAGCATTGAGTGGCCTCCACGATCACCGGATTTACCGCACATTGATTCTTTTTGTGGGGATACCTAAAAAGTAAAATCTATAAAATACAGCCAGCGTCGCTGGAAGATTTGCGTCAAAGAATCGTCGACGAATGCCGTCGAATCATTCCGGAACTGCTTCGGAATGTGCGCGAACGTCTCGAACAAAATCTTTATTCTTGTATGGAAGCGGGCGGTCATCAGTTTAAACATTTAATCAACTACGTAATAAGTAAGCAACTAAACTTAATTTAAAATTTTAAAATGTAAATTTTATTAAGGAAGTATTGGGCGGAATTATAAAATTAAAAGTCTGTTGTAAAGAAAATTGTAAGAGCTTTCAAAAGAAATATTACTCAACCCCTAATGCCATTTAAATATTTTGGAGTGATGCTTACTCTTGCTTGGGGGTGAAAGTGGCGGAGTCAAAAATACCAGCAAAGAATGTCCCCCTTTAATCTAAAATCGACAGGTCTGAGCGTTTTTCTACAATCTTGACGCAGTTCCTGAAAATGGCTCTGTTTCGTTTTCATTTGGCCACCCTGTATATACATTAATTTTTAAAGTATATTTTCGTTACTTTTAAGGGCTTAAGACTCCCATTGACGAAAAAATTTTTACTTTATATATTTACTACATAAGTAGGTAACTATTTAAAAACTTTGATTTCTTTTTATAACTGAATTTTTGAATCAACGAAATTATTCTAACGAATATTTTTTTTGAAGGATTTCGAAATGGATCTGGCCCCTGCAACGGAGACAGTGGCAGCGGGTTCTTGATGAAGATGGGAGACAGGTGGCTATTGAAGGGCATTGTGTCGATGTCCATTTCTGAAGCCAACACCAGGACTTGTGATCTAAACAACTATGTTGTATTTACGGACGCCAGCAAACATTTAGATTGGCTGTTATCTTTTCTGAAATAAAGATTTTTATAAAAATTGTTGTTTACATTTTGTACAATGAATTCATTTATTGGAGTTGCTTATAATTAAGTCAAATTTATACTCGGAGACAACCTGGGAATACCAACATTTTGACAATTCTCAATAAACTTCCTACATACATAGTTAACTTTTTAGTAAAGCCGAGAAAAAGTTAAATTAAGTTAAATTAACAATTAAAAAAATATAGGAGATATGTTTTGTATGCTTTTCATTTAAGTTTTTTTTATCAATATCAAAAATGTGCAAAGAGTGACATGAGCATGAACAAAATATAAGGGTGCATTTTAGAGAAAAAATTACGTTCTACATTCCCATTTGCTCTTATCCAGTGTTGCTTATTTTGCGGGGTACAAGTCGTCAGTAATTTTTTTTGGATATCATAAACATGTAAAACGCATATTTTGCATTTGATTTTAAGAAAAAAGGTGTAGTAAAGCTTTTACTTATCAGAACTTTTTGAATATACAAAAAGAAATATCCCTCGCAATTTTTAAAAACCACATGGTATTGCGAAGTTTATATTAACCTTTATACTCTTTGATTTTTGTCCTAGAGCCCTTCGTCACCTTCGTCTTCAAATGAAAAGCAATTATTTTACTCACATCATTCATCCTTTATGTAATAATGTATTTTTTCGCTAAATAATTGTGTAGAATTAACCATTCACTAAACCTAAATTCGATTCAATCATATAAATACCAAACTGAATGGTAAAAATAGGTCAGAATTGTCAGAAATAAGATGCAGTTACAAACTGATCAAACCCATCTTGTAAGCGAGATGAGCAGATCAAGAAGAGAATCCGTAATAGGATTGACAAAGACAGGAGACCTTGATAGTAGGGCAGGTATCGTCCGACGGTCAGACAGAGAATTAGCTCCAGTGGTAGTTTGGCAACGTCGTCAGTTCTAAAATTCACGGAAAAAATGACGTGTGTAAAATAAATATAATAAAAAAATAAATTCTAGGAAGGCAGAATCTTGCCAACACCCCTAAATTTAGATATCTCTGTATACAGGGTGTTTGTAAATAAGTGCTTAATATTTTAGAGTGTGGTTGCCGAAGTTATTTTGTGAAAAAAAGTTCATATAAATGTAGGTCGAAATATGCTTTTTGTTTACGAGATACAGAGTGTTTAAATTTTAATTTTTTTATTTGTTTTTATTAATTATTTCTCAAAGAATTTTAAGGCTATTGATTCGAAATTTGATGGCTATATTTTATTTAGAAATATTGACAGCAAGATACTAGATAATGTATCAACAGAAATTAAAAATATACAACTTGCAATAAAATATGTTTTAATTTTTTCCTCAAAAAGGGTGCATCCTACGAAAAAAATTGAAGAGACCAATTTCGTTCAGAATTGATGGCGGATTTCTAAAAAAAATATTAAAATGGGAAAAGTCAGTGACGTATCATTTTTTTTTAATAAAAAAAGGTTGTGGCATTCTCGCACGAACGCCAATGGTGGAAAAAAATTCCTATGAAGCGTTTTTCAAATTTCAAGTCACTCTTTGAAATAATTAATAAAAACAAATACAAAATTAAAATTTAAATACTAGGTATCTCGGAAACGAAACATATTTCAACCTAAGTTTTGAACTTTTTTTCACAAAATAACTACAGCAACCACCCCCTAAAATATTTCGCACTTATTTACAAACACCCTGTACATGTAAAAGGTGAACAAAAAAGTAGTATTAGTATTAGTAGTAAAAAATTGGTCTCAAAAAAAGTTTGCAAATAAATTACATTGACGGCTCGAAAGGTTATTTTTTGAATTGCTAACAAACCAAGGATATTAAGCCACCGGTTTACAAGTGCTAGAGTGATTGCATAAACATCTTGGAACTGTGTACAATTATGTCAACCAGTGGCGGATGGTGGGGGACGTTACCACTAAAACTTCAAAAATGTTAGCATAATTGATTATTCTGGAAATTCTATAGGTGCATCTAATTGGTATTGCATTTGCAAAAAAAATGTAATTTTTTATATTGAAAAAAAAAACTCATTGTTTTTGGGTTAGCATTTTATTCTAATATGAAATAACCGCCATTCGTCAATTTAAGTCACACGCATCTACCGAGATATTCATGTAAATGTAATATTTTTTAAACACTACAACACTGTGAATCTTAAAAATTATTATCTTTTGAGCCTAAAATGATCAAGGCTATAGGTAAATTCCTGAAGTTATGTCACCATGTATATTATAAGAGTATGATCCACCATAAACGTTACACCTACGCCGTATTTTCTTCATTAATTTTTTTACATGTACAGGGTGTTTCAGAAAAACCTTCCGTAAATACACGGGGTGATAGTACGAAAAAAAATATGATTTTTTTGTCTTATGAACTATATGTCTATCTCCTCTTGTTTTCGAGATATAGAGCGACAAAATAAAATTTTTAAATAGAATTTTTACGAAAATTTTCAAACGGTGCCAAATATTTTTATGAAATTTGGTATTCCGGGGTTTTTAAGGATGCCAAATACGCTAGTCTAATTATTTTTTTGTATATTTCATAGAGGGTGCTTGTTATGCTACATTCCTATTATATTTTAAGTTCTAATTTTTTTAAGGGTAGCTTTTTTATCATTCGGGCTCCAATTTCGAATGTACAATTTTATTTCCTGAAAATAATGTACTCTTGTTAAAACTTCCCAATGTGGACGGTTTTCGAGAAAAAAGGCTTTTAATGGAACTATTACAATATTACGGTGTATAAAATAAGTGACTTCTCTCAAAGTAGGCTTAAGTCAAAACTTATTGATGGATGTCTCATAAACAGCGCATACATTCTTAGTAGGTAACATTTTAAACTCTAATTAACCTATATCAACATTTTAGTAATTGTTAGTGACTGTAGTTAGTAATGATTAATTCCAGTCACTATAATTTGATATAATATTGTTAACGAACCTTTATTAATTTATCCGTTAAGTATCCGATGAACTGTTATCTTTTCCTATGTTAGTAATGTAATTAAGTCTTTTTTCTCGAAAACCGTCCACATTAGGAAGTTCTAACAAGAGTACATTATTTTTAGAAAATAAAATTGTACATTATAAATTGTAGCCCGAATGGTAAAACACCTAACTATAAAAAAATTTGAACTTAAAATGTAATAGGAATGTAGCATAACTAGTACCCACTATGAAATATACAAAAAATAATTAGACCAGCGTATTTGGCATCCTTAAAATCCCCGGAATACCAAATTTCATAAAAATATTTCGCACAGTTTGGAAATTTTCGTAAAAATTCTGTTTAAAACATTTTATTTTGTCGCTCTGCATCTCGAAAACAAGAGGAGATAGACATGTAGTTCATAAGACAAAAAATTCTTATTTTTTGTCGTACTATGACCCTCTGTATTTACGGGAGGTCTTTCTGAATCACCCGGAATAAGAATATGTACACTTGGCGCCACCCAAATGTGAACGAATTTTGGTTGTTATGGAAATTTCATCTGGATTTTATCGTAATAAATCAAATTTTTCTTAGTGGCGTAATACAGAGAGGGTATTCTGATGGATAAATTCGACCAAGGCATTGTCTTCCGCGTCACTAGAAACCTTCCCGACAATCCGACACCTTGCCTGATATATCTTTGTAAACTTTGTTCTTCCTGCCAGTGTTATTTAATATAAAATATACAACTCTTACTGACATTTAAATCAGCATCCACTTCACTCAAAGACCAATTGTCTTCTAATTTAGCTACAGCCCTTGCTCTTTGCGCCTCAGTTAAATGCTCCTGCATATTTCACGTTACTTGTTTACATTTCATTATGTTTGCTCTAAGTGACATATATATTTGACAAGTATAGAATTTTACGACGACCATGATTTGAAGTCTAAATTACACGGTACAATATTGCCGTTCACATTTGGCGCCGACTGTACGAATAATAATAATTTCAAATATTTTATTAAATAGAATACTTTGTATACATATATTTTTAAATGTTGATGATAATTTTTTTTGGTTATGTCTCCCCTACTATTAAAACAGACCTATCAAACGTTATATCATTGCATCTATGTGCAAAAATATACAAGGTGTTCCGTCTTAAGTCTTTGTAACCTTCAGCTGTTGAAAACCAACGGAGAAAATATTTATGGTGGACCATCCTGTACATAGTAACTATTTTTAAAACAAATATATGTAGGTACTAAATAAAACAAATGAACTATCTCTCTCCAACGTTAAGTTGTTGTAAACATCAATGAGCAGGACGTGGTCGAGTTTGAGCAAATTGTTTGGATCGGAATTAATTCTCTTTGAATGATTTTATTTATTTATTTTTTCAAATGTCAAACTACAAAAAATATTACTTTCATGTGGATAAAAAGGAAGTATGATATATTTTAAGGTTCGTCGTACACGTCATAATTTCCTCAACTAATAGGTACCACACATTTCAAGGTTAATTTGCGAAATTTCGGACCGTATACTTAATCCTTGCCTCCCATTTTTTTCCAAATATATATATATGACGTCAATAATTTGCATTAGTCAAAAATAGTTTAAGTCCGATTTCGCAGCGCGTGGATCCTGCTTCGAAGTTCGAATTTTTTATATATGCAACCGACTGTTTTAGTGATGACTATTAAAAGATCATTATTTGAAAGTGAAATTAGGGGCAGGGGCGTGCCAAAATGCACTGCCGTTCGACAGAAATTGTTTGTTGCGTACTTGTCTATTATGATTCAACAGTTATCTATAAATTATATTTTATGGACTGTTAAAGAAATAAAAAGAGTGCAATGACTTTCTTCCTTCTGTTATTTTTTAACAATCTCCCTGTGTGATTAAATGAGAAACAACGCCCTAGAGTAGTATGAGTGACATTCATTAAATGTCATATCCGCTATACAGGGTTATCCATTGATGGTACGGATCTGCTACGATTATGGGGTAAAAAATCTATTAACAAATACGGCCAAAAGAAATTGATTTAAAAT